TATTACGGCTGTAAGCGCATCGGCGAACGCCAGCAACTTATTCGACTCAAAACGCGGCACGGAACTGCAACGCAGTCAAGACACGTCCATAATTGTTGCCGAGTATTACGTGTCGCCGCCATGGGCCACTGCGCGATCTGCCTTGGATATACAATTGACCCGCTGACAGTGCGGCAGATCGGCAAAGCAGCCATTTCGTCGTAAATACTATCGTAAATATATACTAAAGTTGCTAAATTATGGTGTGTATGAGTATACGTGTATGTGCCTTGATCGCCTATTCCGCCTCATTACGGGTTAGTGGTCAAAAGACGACTGCGAAATGAAAACGAAACTGTCAAATTGTACAATTGTACAATCGGCCTGTTTGTTGCAGCCACTGTGCGTTGTTGTTGTTGTTGCTGTTGTTACCATTACTGCTGCAACAATTGCGCACGGTTACGCAGTGTTAAGCGCTTTTTATTTGCCTTACGTGAGAGCCATTTCAAATGGTCGCTTCAACCGCCCAGCAGGTGAATCCGCATAAATACTGAACGCACACACACACAGATAAAGCTTATAGACAAGCAGTCAGCCGCGCATAAATACGTATTTAAATAAATAAAATAACTGAAAATAAAGTATTCGTAATGTGTTTGTAAGTAAAGTAATCATTATCCGCGAATATACACATACACACACATAACAAGGTATAAATATTCGGCACTCGCTAGCTGTAATGCCAAACTAGAAATGGAAAATGTTGAACAATTATGAGTCTTGGCTTGTTGGCGCATTGTCGGCCCACCTGACTGCTCATCTGCCCCACCACGATTTGACTTAAGCGCGGTATTCTACGCACGCTGCTTGTTCCACATTATAATTCCCACTTCGTCTTGTTACAGCCGAATTGTCCCTATGAGCCGCTGTTGCGTAACGTCGAAACTCGCGGAATTTGAAAATTTGCCGTTAATTGTTTTTGGGCAGATCTAGATCTTAATGTCAGCAATTTGCATGTAATTGTTACGCGCTTGACCGTTACATATTTGTCTACCATTATTTTTGAGGAAGTCTCAAATAAGAAGCACATAACTTTTCATGTTATACTAACGTCTGGGTTAAAAGCTACAAGTATAATAGGTATCAGCCATTAGTTGAAACACTCGCAGTACATATAGTTGTTGTTATAGAACTAACTGATTACCACCGGTTGAGTTTATTCCGAAATAGTTTTGGTGATAGCCTGTATCTACAGATTACTATTTTAATAAACTCAAATTACTTTTAAGCCGAATGGTGCCTGAATTTATATTTAAGTCGGTTCAAAATTTGTGTAGCACTTTTACACTCACGTTTCGCTACAAGCTTGGGTTTATTGGACATTTTAAAGGTTCGTTTTAACAACTATTTACATTGTAGATTATTAAGATAATTACCTCTAACCTTTTTGGTATTTATGGAGATGCAATACTATTGATGTTACTATTGCTACTTCCCAGTTTCTGAAGCGCCGCAATGAGACAACTTCACAGTAGTTAATGCACACAAAATGTTAAACACGAGTTTTTGTCACAAATGGAACGTATCTTGGTCCCGAATTTAGGAAACACTCCTTCTTTAAAATATCGATGAGAAATTTTGCAGACGTCCTCTTCTACCAAAGAAGCTTATTTATCATGTATTGAATTTTTTAATTTGGCAAGATATCTTTCAAACATTTTTTGCATAGATTATTATCCAAAACACCGCTAAAATCACCGAATATATTGTTCAGGGCCACAATAGCAGATAGCTTCAATACAAACTGATCAACCGAAATCAAGATAAATATCTTTTTATATCATTTTATGGTATAAGAAATGTACTTGGGAAGGAAATTATAGCTTCGGTGTAGCCGAAATTAACGTTTTTTCTTTGTTTTTTAAATTTTGAACCAAACCTCTAATATTGGAGGATTAATTTCCATTCAAAGGATTTTGATGAATTTAGTCAATATCACACTTAGTCTAATCGAACTTATATTGCCTTGTGTGACTGTTATAGCTTCTTTAACCAAAGTTCCGTAATATTTCACTAAGTAATTTTTTTTTTTTTGGAAGTTCTTCCAATGTCACTTGAATTATGTACAACTATTTCGAAAAATGAATAAGGAAAGCAAGTTGTGAATCTAATTGTTTAAAACCTCAACGTTATTCTAATAAAAAGGGATTGTAGGGTCAAAACAAAACTACAAATGTGATGACCCAACCTTATCGAGTGCTGATAATGATTTTGGCGTCGTTAAAACCAATGCATTACGAAAGGCCACTGTGAACATTTACGATAACTGAGTAAATCCTAGACAAACAAAAGCCGAGGTTAAAATTGACCTTTTTTTAATTGATAATATCCGCTTAAACTACGAGTGTACTATTGAAATTTCTCCATGAAAATAATATGACTAATATGTCATAATCGCTCATCTTAGATGACGATGACTTTTATATAAATGGGGCGGCGTTGGACGTTTTAAGAAGTTTCAAACGATTGATAGATCTTATAATGAAAATAAACTGCGAAGAGGACTCCACTCCCACCATGTGGAAATCATCAAATCAACTTACATGCTTCGGAGATAGTCATAACGATTCTATTAAAATTCTTCGAATGAATTTATTCTTCAGAGAGATCGTCAGAGGCATACAAATACGGAAATAAAAGCCAAATAAACAAGTAACTAATAATTATTGTGTATAAATCTAAAAGACTTTATTGTGTTTTCCTCATAATTTCTAGAATAGATACAAAATTTACTGATAGTAAAACGATTTTATGGTTATGACTACTTCGAAATGTTTATATTACAAATATAACTTGATTGCTCAAACAATTCATTCAAAACACGTGACAGAGAAACAAAGTATGTATTAATATTTATATTTACTTACAACTAGATAAGGCTGTTATTCGCTGTGATTTTTTATTAATTAAGTTAGTTACAACAACAGTAAGCTATATTGTAACTCTTGCTGTGTCTAGCTTGAGGTTAATAAAATATTAGTACTGGCAAAGATATAAAAAATTATGCAAGTTCGGAACTGTTTAAAGCTTATGTCCCCTATAGTTATGATATAAGATAATAAGTGATGTAAATTAGATAAAAAGATCGAACAGAATCTAAGCGTTTCCACTACTATTTTCACGAGTGTTAAAACATCAAAAATACTCATTAAACATGTGAAATTATTTCGAAGAGGTAAAGTTTTTGATACAGTCTTTTATTATTACTTGACTTATTCTTGCTATGATTGCTTTAAATAATATTTCAAAGCAATTAGAGTCAAATATAACTCGGAAAAATATATGCTTATGCTTTAGTCTCGGCAAAATACGGGACAGTTTTTGTTTAGTCATCTTTTTTTATATTATAATTCACTGAAAATCGCGAAATATAATAGGTGAGAGAGCAACACAATTTTATTCAATGCATTATTTTTTTTAATTTCTAAGCCCGGCACTGTGCTTAACTCGGAAACCGCGCTGTCCCGGCCAAACTGGGACGAATGGTCAGCTAAGATAAGCCCGAATTACATAGTTTAAATATAATTTCGAATATAAGATCGCCGTTACAAATTGGAGTTGATTTAACGGCCTTCGATTATCGTATTCCTTCGATCATTAACTTCAAAATATAAAGCAGATTTTTTGAAACTCACAAGTGGATATAACCTTAAGTAATACGTCCTTGTTGAGTTACAAGAATTCCCTTGGGTCAATATAAGTTTTGACCAAAATATAGATAAATGGTGCAACATTTTAGTATCTTTCCTCTCTCCTAATTGATAAATTTAGTATTTCCATTAATCCGGACTAATTTAAACGAATATATTGAATACACAGCAATATATTGTAGCTAGACATTTAGTATGTTGACTACAGCCTCAAATATTTTGGGTTCAATTTGTTTACAACTTCACCCAGGTACGAATGTTAATTTAGCCCAAAACACTTTACATATATTTTTCCTATCAAATACATAGTAGCTGAAATCTCTAAGTATGTCGTGCACTTTTACTCTACCTTTCTTTTTCAAGGCGAGAAAGTACTGATATCGCACAGCGATCAACCGTTCAAATTATGTTATATTATAGAAGTATAAGTATTAGAAATAATAGCTGCTATCGATTCGTCAAACCTGAAGGAGTAGCGAATCGAACAAGAAACTAGTACAAATGAAATAGAATAGGATAATCATATGGCGTTATACTACCTGGTGAGTATACCACGTTAATGAAATAACTGCATACACTCTCTTATCAAATTCATCTGTTTAACTTTGTTGTTGCGTTCGCTGTTCACTAGAGAACAGAGCACAAACATAGTGAGCTGAAAAGTGGCATTCGATATGCCTAATTTCCATTGGTAATTTTAGTTATGACTACAAGTATATCTACAGCCGCTAAAGATAACAACTACTTTAACTGGTTAACTTTTGTTGTGTAAATATAGACAAAGTAAACTTACTAAGAGAGCTAAATGGTTTGTTACAATTAATTTAAATAGCTTCTGTTCTGTTTGAAGGCAACCAAAAATTTGAAACAGCAAGTTTTAGAACCATAAAATGTAAAATGTAAAAATGATCAAAATGCTATTTAAAATTTTTTTTTTTTTGAGAGATATGTAAACTTTTAGAATTTGACGTCTGTATACTTGATTTATATTTGTTTCGATAATAAATAAAAGAAAGTTGGCTGAGATTGCAGGATGTATTCCAAATGAGTCATATCCAATACGGTAAATAGTTTACGGAGCAGAAAAACTTTCAAAGTAATCAAATTAAAAAGTTTCGCCATTGAAAGTGGTTCATAAGTCGGTCATCTCCGCGATAGTTAGAACTACGTAACTGGAATTACAGCTGTTCAAATTTGAAAATTCTTTGATACAAACAAAGGTGTCCCGAATTTCACTAGCCTAGTCAAACGATGAAAACTACTACCTTTTTAATTTGAATTTTTTTCTTTTCATTACTTTTGACTTTTAGTCATATACTGAATATTTTCTGATTCTTATAGTTAAATTTATTCTTATGTAAATAAAGATTTATGGTAATCCAAGAATATAATCCAAGAAGTCGTTTATTTTAAGGAATTTCTGGTTTTTAGAGGTGTCAATTGAAATTGATGTGAAAAAGTGACAATAGCTGCATGAACATGACAACGATAACCCGACTTCTCTTCAGTTGTCCAATAAATCCAACGGCTTTTACTAAAGATTCCCGTGGAGCGAAGTAATTAACGCGTCTACTACAATTCTCTGCAATTGCTTTAACTCTATACATATATCTAATTTCAGTTTAAGAGTTTTAAAAGATCAAAAACAAAATATACACTCAAAGTTTTGATGTGCTCTGATGAGATGTGGTCATCACCCCCAGAAGTAGCAGCTCCGTACTCGTCATGCTTACTTTTATCTAACCAATACATAAAATATAGAGATTAATATATATATATATGAATCAGGCCTATTATATATTAGTCTCAAAATTAATTAATTAATTGTTTATATTTGTTGACTTCGAAATATAATTATAATTTTGAAAACATCTACTTGTATATCAATATTTCCTACGAATACCTATTGCAATTAAAAACTTATTCGCTACTATAGATTATAATTTATAATAATTTATACTAGTTTATTATTGAATTTCAACCAATTTATGTCAAACGTAAGTTTTAATTATGGCCTATTGATATGAATGAATGATTTTATGAATTAGAAATAGATTAGATCCAAGTGTACACCGACAAATTAGTTTACTTTTTATTTCTGAACTTGCAGACCGGGAATATAAAGTGATTTATCACGTCGGCAAAGCAATAAGCTTGCATATCAACAGATAAAAGTTTTATCTACAAAAACAAAAATTCACTTAGCAAGAGCCGTCTCGACCAAAGATAAGGTTTATTCATGAGAAGACCTCAATAAGAAAAAATAAACTCTTGTTCTTTTCGTGCTCGTATTAGTCGAGTATTATAATTAATTTCGCATTTGAAAACAAGCTATGCTACTGTAGATATGTACATAAAAAATTAAATTTATTTAAATGCTTTTATTACACGTGATTAGTTTCATGAAAAGCAAAACATTCTTTTCTTAGGGTCCAAACCCGATGTAATATAATAGTCATTTAAAACAATTTAAGAAAATGAAAAAGGTTGAATATCGAAGAGCGGTTTTCTTCGGGCAACTTCATAGTTGAGGGGCAGTCTGCGTTGCAATCAAAATTGCTATCACAAAAGTTCGAGCAATAGTTAAACTGTTGACCTTCGGGACAACTTTGTAAATAATACACAATTTCGCCATTAACTTCGGCGCAAAAAGCGAATTTCTCACAAGAGCCAAACTGTGGATAGAAGCCAACATCGGGGCAATCGAATGCCGGTAGTGTAGTAGATTCCGGTTCTTGCGTGGTTGTATCTGGATTCTCAGTGCTTGTAGGTGCATCAGTGGTTATGGTGGTACTAGTTGTTACAGCATCGGTTGTTTCCGGCTCTTCAGTAGTTACAGGGGCATCTGTTGTTTCCGGCTCTTCAGTAGTTGCAGAGACATCAGTTGTTGCCGGCTCTGCAGTAGTTACAGTGGCATCAGTTGTTCCTGGCTCTTCAGTAGTTATCGCGACATCTGTTGTTTCCGGCTCTTCAGTAGTTACGGGGGCATCAGTTGTTGATGGCCTTTCGATAGTTACAGGAGCATCTGTTGTTTCCGGCTGTTCAGTAGTTACAGGAGTATCAGTTGTTGCCGGCTCTTCAGTAGTTACAGAGGCATCAGTTGTTTCCGGATCTTCAGTAGTTGCAGGGTCATCCGTTGTTGCCGATGCATCAGTAGTTTCAGACTCATCTTCTGCGGGTGTCTGATTGTCAATACTACCAGTCGGAGCTCTATTGGGTATAGTTGGTCTGATGAGGTCACCGCTTGTCGTAGAAGTTGTGGGTATTGTAGGATTTTGTACATCTTCATCGCCATCAGAACTGTCTTCGGAGTCACTAAAATACGCGACTTTTGGCACACAGAATCCATCGTAACGATTAAAAATGTACCCACTTTCACAATTTAAATATTTGATATTGAATGTGTCGTCCTCATTAAGATCACATGCATAAAATAATTGAGAGTTATCGACGAGTGCGAATAATCCTACACGCTTACAAGGATTCACCAAAATTCCAGCATCGACCACGGCTATTGCCAAACATAATCCAAGAAAAAATAATTTCATTACGCTTAAGTAAGTTCTTTCACAGCTTGTTGTTTTCGTTCACTTCTTTAAACTACAAATAACTGTAGAGCACCTTTGATGTATTCTTTTATAGGAAATTTAATTAATCGGTTGAAATAATACTTCTTCCAAATATTTTTTAATTAACTGATAAAAAACGACAATTCCATAAATACAAGTAGATAAATAATAAGCAGTTTTATCTCCTTGACTTATAATACAAGGTGCGTTCCAAAGTAAACAGTAAAAAAGTAACAAAGTAAACTCTAGTGACGCCATCTATATGTCGACTAGTGCGTTAGAATCTGCAATCTTTTATTGACTTCTAGTAAAAATTTCATGACATTTCATCTATTGGAAGTGAAGTTATTGCGTTTTAAGTGTCAGTATGTTTTTGTCATCGGTGCGAAAATGAGCTTCGAACAAAGAGCCAACACTAAATTTAGTTTTAAAATTGGTAAAACTTTTACCGAAACGTTTCAATTGATGAAACAAGTTTATGGCGATGATTGCCTATCCCGTAGCAGAGTGCACGAGTGGTACAACGTTTTCAAAGTGGTAGTGGGGACATAAATGACGATGAACATGTGGGACAACCAAAATCTGTGATCACCGAAATTTCCATCGAAACTGTGCGTGAATTCATAAAAAATCAGCCGATCAACTTACAAAAGGTGTGTGCACGGTTTGTTCCGCACAAATTGACTGACGACCAAAAATTGCTCAGAATTCAACATTCGAAGGACGTCATTAAAGAGGCAAAAATAGACCCGAACTTCCTTTACAAGATTGTGACTGGTGACGAAGCGTAGTGTTTTCAATATGATCCCGAAACGAAACGCCAGAGTGCTGAATAGAAAGCGCCGGACGACCCGAAACCCAAAAAATCGGATTTGTTTTTATGATTCCAAGGGTAGTGTCCACAAAGAATTTGTTCCACCCGGCTAAAACTTTAATGCGGTATTCTACCTTGGAGTTTTGAAGCGCTTGGTGCACCGTATTCGACGTGTTCGGCCCGAATATCGCGAAGATGGAAGTTGGCGTTTGTTGCACGATAATCCGCCGTCACATCGATCGACGCTTGTGGCCGATTATTTGACCAAAAATCACATTTTAACAATCAACTACTCCCCGTATTCACCTGATATGGCACCGTGCGACTTCTGTCTTTTCAGAAAAATGCATTTGCCGATGAAAGGAGGCCATTCAAAAGGCTTGCAGCGACATACTGACGGTCATACCGGGCAACGGACGAAAACAACAACACTCGTTCGACATGCTTTTGGACCGTGCAAAAGCCTGTATTAAAGCTGAAGGAGACTATTTTGAATAAAATTAATTGATTTTACCGATAAAGCCATTTGTTCTGTCTTTGTTTTTTTTAAGTCCTGTTTACTTTGGAACGCACCTTGTATTATCTTTGGGTACCTCTGTTGAAAGCACCTATCGTAATACAAAAACAAAAATCAGTGAATTTTATAAAAATTATTAATTTGGATATTTATTTCCTCTACATAGTTTCATGTTAGAATTTCTCTGAAATGCAGGAAACTATATCAGACACATGTACTCTAAATCATGACGACGTGTTGAAATCATATATAAATATAATTTTACTAATCACCGTAAACTTGACTGCGAGCATGCTCTGGAATCCTAGCACGTATTGATTTCATTCCAAACTACTTGGATTACCCGATCTCCGAGCCTAGATATAGAAGAGAAGAACTCGCTGGAGAAGAGGAGCGGTTAACTTTTTTACATACGGGTTGGGGCTTGGACGGAGGGTTGGTGGAGGAGCCCACTGTCGGGAACTATATATCTACTCCAGTATTAGGCACTCTGACCACTGCAACCTCTTTCCTGTGAGGTGATTATCCTCTCCTATAGTAGAGCAGGTGTAAGAGCTCTAACTGTACACTGTCGGATCGGGACTCATGCGGTAACATTTTATCGGTTGTCGGCTGCATCTGCTGCTTGGAAAAAGACGAGATAGAATCATTTCAACACTTTCTTCACAAAAGACCTGCTTTTGCCAGATCAAGGTTGAAACACCTCAAATCTCAAAATTTTAGACATACATTCTTGTACATTTGAAATAACGGATCTTATGCAGATTTGTGATAGGTTCAAGGAGCTTTGTCGTTGAAAGTATGAAACAATATTTATATAAAATGAAAAAACATAAGTTCTCTAAGCGATTTTTACCATAACACAACCTTTTCAAGTATTTTGTAAGGGTGTGAAAAATGTTCTTTTTCCACAAATTTAAATTCTTTGTTTTCTCATAGCAGCTCTTTTCTCTCTTACAAATACTACTCAACATAAGAATTTACTTTGGTCTCTTAATGTACCCTTTCTGACTTGGTGACCCCTGAACAGGATATATTAAGTTTGTAACACCCAGTAGTAAAGTCGGAAACCTTATAAAATATACTGTATATATAAATGATCAGCATGATAAGCTGAGGCGATTTAGCCTTGTCCGTTTGAATACACGTAAATCAGTTCTCAGTTTTTAAAATATTGATCTGAAATTGTGAACACGTCCGTTTATCGGAACCGCCGATATCGGCATATAACTGCCATACAAACTGAACGAACGAAATCAAGTGATTGTATGGAAATATTTTTCATTTGACGAGATATCTTCACAAAATTTAACATGTATTTTGTGTGTATATAATTTTTCAGATCGCGTCACTATAACACATAGCTGCCATACAAAACAACCAATCAAAATCAAGTTCCTGTAAGGAATATTTTGTATTTGTAAAGAGAGTAGTATTAACGTTTTTTCTTGGTTTGGTTTTGAAAGACAATGCTAGTAGAGCACTACAGAATAGAGCTTCTCAATATAGTGTTCTATATAAATATACGACAGTTCGTAATGAGTGCTTAGACTCATTCAGTAATTAATGAGTACTTTTACCATAAGTTCTTTGTACCTTTTTTAATTTTGAATTCTCCTGAAGCTTTTGAGTTCTCGTAAGTACTCTCTCTATAATGAATATTCGCCTAAATAGAATTATTTTTTTCGTAATATCAAATAATCTTTAAATTAAAAAATGTCATATACATATATATTGTATATATTTAATGATCAGCGTGACGAGTTTCATTTAGCCATATACGTCTGTTTGTATACCTATGTACATATCGTTAACTATAATGCAAAATAACGTAACATCACTTTACATAACTCATAGAAGAAGGAAAAAACGATAAAATTTATAACTTGGTTTTATATCTGATAGTATAAGCTTATAATTGTGTATATATACATACTTGTATAATGCGAGTATGATTGATTGAATCAATTTCGAATTTTTTGATGATAAGTTGTTTTGCTTTTTAAGTGACCATATATCCGTATAATAACAAATATAAATGCAGTGAAGAAAAAAAACCAAAACTCCGAAATATAAAATTTTTTTTAAAATTTAACGATTACTAACGCAGGAGTGAACGAAAATACTAAGAGATAAGAAATATGTTTAGATTATTTATTTTTCATTTTAGCGGACTTATAAGACAAACAAATATCAAGGAGATAGTAGTAGGCTTTCTCTCTTCTTCATTATCAATTTTTTTAGCGCAACCAGTAGTTTTTATATTTGTCATTTTCTCATTCAAACACAAACGTAAATATTTAAGTTGTTAACTGAAGCGTGCAAATTTGCGTGCGCTACTATAATTAGAGCAATCATAATAAAAGCGGCAATAAAAAAAATATCTCGTCCTAAACAAAAAATGCGCTTTAAATGATAGAGCTTTATTGTGATCCAGCATGTGTGAATTTAGCAATTCACTTTCATGCGGGAATAACCAATCACAAGTGTTCGGGAAATTGCGTGATAAAACTGTAATATCAACTACTTTCAAGATTACTTCTGTACTTGAAACTTTTTTATGGGGCAATGACTCATCGCTCGCCGTTCTGATAAAATATTCAACACTTGAGTTCGATCCGCATTGTGCTATCTATAACTTTTCAAAATAAAAGTCAATATGTTAGTAATAAATTAGTTGGAAATAATTCGTTTAGTCTTATATTTGAGAAAAAAAAACCTTAAATTAATAAAAATTTTCTTTATTTAACTAATTATAGCATAAGCATGACTCATACATAAATACGAGTGCACGAAGTGAGAGCACTTTCACTAGATTCATTCAGACGATTTATGATCGTAGTATTTGGAACCTTTCCGCCGTAAGAAACAAGTAAATCGGCGCTCACGACCGCATGAGCCAGTCTCTAGGCGGAACACCTTACCGCTCGGACAAGCGATGGGTAATTGAATGAAATTGCGATAGTTCTTACTCCACCTGCATGTGTAGTATTTGGTACAATCATTCCTATGGGCGAAGGTACCCTCCGCCAAGCAGGTGAACGGTTTATGGTGTTCAATTGAAGCTACTTCACCGCTGTTTTCACTACTGTCTTCACAATCGATTTCTGAATCACAAAAGAGTGTGTTCCTATTGAATTTTTGTTCGTGGGGACATTTCATATCATACTGCTTCATTTTACCGAAATTTTTGGCACAATAGGCAAACTTAGTGCAACCGCCCTCACTTTCAAAGAAGCCTTCATAGGGGCATTTGAATTGTTCTGGTGTTCTAGGTGTGGTGGGCGTTTTCGTGGTAACCGTGCTTCTATCTTTCGTCGTTTTGTCTACTGTGGTACTTGGTGAGTTGGTTGTAACTGGCGCTGATGTGGTAGCTGGAACGTCAGGTAAGCTCGGTTTATCGCTATTTGCAGGACGTTTTGTTGTACGTGCGCTTTCTGTGCTAACTGATACTTCTGTTGTCGTATTATTTTCTGACTCTTCGGTGACCGTTGTTTTTTCAGTAGTTCTTGGTACATCCGCAGATGCTGTAGCTATAGTTGTCTCATTTTTCTCGGGTCCTTGTGTGCTGACTGCTACTTCCGGTGTGGTATTGTTTTCAGGGTCTTCAGTAACAGTTCTTTCATCAGTAGTGCTTGGTGTATCTGGTATTTCCGTAGATACTGTAGCTACAGTAGTCTCATTTTCCTCGGGTCCTTCTGTGTTAACTGATACTTCCGGTGTGGTATTGTTTTCAGGTTCTTCAGTAACAGTTCTTTCATCAGTAGTGCTTGGCGTATCTGGTATTTCCGTAGATGCTGTAGTTACAGTTGTTTCAGTTTCCTCAGATCCTTCTGTACTAACTGATACCTCTGATGTGGTATTATTTTCAGGTCCCTCTGTTTCAGTTGTTTCTTCTGTAGTGCTTGGTGCATTTGGAACTTCAGTA